GACTGACATTTAATGTCTTGACGCAAAATCATAAAAAATTATACATTTACTCGCTTGACGGTTTAAAAATTTAGAGCTCATGCCACATAAATTGAACTCGGTATTTTGTTATAATTTTCACACCAAATCATTTATACTGAATGAAGTTTAAAATATTTTTACAATAGATAAAAGTACCTAAATTCATGGAAAAAATATAAGTGAGAAACATGCACTGAAAAAAAAAGTATTTCTTGCATCAAGAAAATTTTAACGGAGGCCAAAGTTATATTGGAGCAAGAAGAGGTGTTTTAGTCTCAAAAAATTTTGACTTCATTCGTGGAATTTTCAGTCATTTTTAATATATTCTCGATCCAAAAAAATTTACCTTTGAGTCAAGATTTTTTTTCTGCAGTGTATGAAAACATACAAGCATAAATATAAAAAATTTATATCCCACATGTATTTAATTTATATGTATTTTTCTTAAAAACGTAAATGAAGGATGTTTTGTATGTTATTTTCTAATTTGTTAGATATATTCATTATATTAGGTATATATATTAATATTAAGAAATTATAAATTTTTGTTATTAAGAACAGACTTAAATTTGCAAGGTACCGGCCTAAATCAGCTGTTCACCTCTTCCTGATTCTTACAAAATTTCAAACCAATTTTCACTAATATTAAACGATTAATTGTAAATTAGACATCTTGTTAAAGAAGTTTTATACTTGATAAATTTTGATTAATCGATAATATTAAGGAAATACATCCCCCAAATTTTATCAATATTATAGAAAATAATCGTTTGTCACTGTTTTAGAAAATTACTTTCAAATTACGTCAGTATTATGTACAATTGTGACAAATTATTGACGTTAAATAATGACTCACAAATGGTATCGGTATTACGTACCACCGTGACTTGTCATTGATGTAAACACATGATATTAATCTTACGTCAAGATTATGTACAAACGTGACTTGTCACTGATGTAAACGCTTGATGTTAAACTTACGTCAAGATTACGTGCAACCGTGACTTGTCACTGATGTAAGCGCATGATGTTAAACTTACGTCAAGAATACGTACAACCGTGACTTGTCACTGATGTAAACGCATGATATTAAACTTACGTCATTATGACATACAATGATGGCATTAATGTTACCCCGAGTCGAAAATTCAGCCCCGTTTAAAATGTATTTTTTTCCAACAATTCTCAGAAAATTGAGTGGTCAGGAAAGACTCTGCTCAACCAAACACTATATAAACTGGAGACCTGGTTTGACTGTAAATAGTGGAGTTTTGTCCCATTTTGACAGGATTACAGTCAAACCAGGCGTTGAATAATAATAATAATTCAAATAATAATAATTATTATTTTTGCTATACCGTGCCTAGGGACGCAGGTTCGAACCCTACTAGGAACATAATTTTTTTAATAATAATAATAATAATAATAATAATAATAATAATAATAATAACACCGTAGACAGAATGCTCATGAAGAGAGCCCTGCAGTCAGTGTGGACGAAGTTCGTTCAGCTCTAAATGGCAGCAAAAATTGGGCTGCCCCGGGACCAGATGGCATTAATGTCTTCTGGTGGAAGAAGTTCACTTCTACCCACCTTCATCTGGCCCGCATATTTACATCGTACATTAGAGCTGACGAACCTATTCCAGACTGGCTTGTGGAAGGGCGAACCGTACTGATACCTAAAAGAGGTGACTTGTCTGACCCAAAGAATTACAGGCCTATCACCTGCTTGAATGCGGTTTATAAAATTTTTACGAAAATTTTAAACAACCGTATTTTGCAGGAGATAGAACCTGTATGGCAACAGATATATGAACAACGTAGCAGCAAAAGAGGCCTGTCAGGTTGCCAGGAGAACTTGATAGTTGATCGATGTGTCATACAAGATGCGATCTACTATCAACGCAACCTTTCAATGGCCTGGATCGACTATCGCAAGGCATTTGACTCAACTCCTCACGAGTTGATCCTATATCTCCTCAAGTGCCTAGGGGTCAATCCTGAAATAGTGGAATGCATTCGGCGTACAATGGAGCTCTGGCGAACGCGTTTTCACATTGAAAGTGGAAACGCATTGCACATAACCGGAGTTGTAGAGTACAAACGAGGGGTCTTCCAAGGCGATTCCTTGAGCCCTCTGCTGTTTTGCATTTCACTGCTGCCTATATCTGTTGCTCTCCGTAAAACTCGTGGGTACTCTGTGGGGCCCCCGGGTGATCGAAAATACTCGATCACCCATCTGCTTTACATGGATGATCTGAAGCTGTATAGTGCTAACGAAGATCATCTACAGGCGGCCCTTAACATCGTAGCAGAGTACACACGAGAGGTCGGAATGTCTTTTGGGTTGG